CACCCACACCCACGTGCGTGAATCTTCCCGCGTTCCCACTAACTATGCGTTCGAAGATTCACGCAGGCATGTGTCTGTGAGAGAGAGAGAGAGAGAGGCGCGGCGACATGCACGGAGGGCCGCGGCGAACTCGCCGCCCCTCTCTCTCTCCGTCGCCATCTCTCTCTCTCTCTCTCTCTCTCTCTCTCTCTCTCTCTTCTAAAGGTTGGAAAACGGGAATGAATCTTCCCGCTGCCGCGGGAAGATGCACTCCCTTTTTCATCTCTCTCTCTCTCTCTCTCTCCCTCCCTCCCTCCCTCGCTCCCTCCCTCCCGTCCGTCTTCTTTTTTTTGCCCGTTCTTTTTTTCTTTTTTTCTTTTTTTTTTTCGTGGAAGAACTCAAATTCCATTATAAACCGAGGATGAGGACGGGAATCCGTCAACAAACAACCCGGAGAGGGGGCTGGGCCATTACCCTGCATAGGCTTAAACTGGAAACCGGGTCCAGCGTCACATTCACTCCCATTCCTAAGAGATCTTCCAAAAGTCTCATTCTTTTCTGTGTTTTCTTTGTTTTTGTATTTCATTTTTTTTTTTCAGTTTTTGTTCGAAATACCATTTGTGTCATTGTGACAGTACCGGGGCCCAGCCTTCAAGCAGCGACCGGGCCTTCCCTTGGCCGACCCCCCTAAGGCTTCGGCGTGTATACAGGAAGGTCCGCGGCTGATAGCTGGGCCAGGTACAGAGGAGGAGGGGAACCAATATCTCCTTACTTTTTTGGGTAATACATGTAAAATAAATACTGAGTGTGGGATCACGAGGGCTGCACGACAAGATTTGGCTCACTCAACTGCCACACAAACTCTTTTCTATCCTATCCTATTGCTAGTGGGACCATGGTCCAGGGGTCTAGTCCCACCTACAGCGTTGAGTTTTCTCAACGTTGAGCTTTCTATCACGTGTGGCATGGTGGGACGGAGCTCTGCCGTTGATGTATTGCGAATCTAACAGTACCAAAATACAGGAGAATAACCTATTAGATTTAGTCATTTTGTAGAATTTTTCTTTGACGTGAAATCCGTTTTGTAGTATGCGTTGGCCCTTTTGGTTTGGGAGGGAAGCCATTTTCCATTGAGAAAACTACCCTACCGAGGGTAGTAGGGTACATTTCTCAACTGCAGTGCCTTTCCTTTTTCTTGTTTTTTTAGACCTCATTGCATCCTGAAACAGAGGAACTCTGACAGCTGTGTTTCGCTGTCTTGCATCAAACTCGTTTCCTTCTTTGGGCAATGAATGCATTTGGCCATCCACGTCGTCCCTGTCCATTTTACAAATGGTGACCTCCAGTCCCCTCACCACGGGGAGTATCCCTTTTTCACGGAGACGTTCACTCCGACTGTTCCAGACATGTTTCATTTCTCGGAGTTACGTTATAAAAAATAAGGAGAAAAGTTGTTTCTAGCATTTTTTTCAGTTTTTTTATGTCGAAATGACGTCACACCGTTGAGTTTTCTGAACTCAACAATGGTAGGTGGGACCAGACCCCAGGTGCCAGTGGTGACTCTTTTTATCAGCGTCACTATCACTGG